GGGGGGGGGGGAGAGGCCTATTTGCACTTTGAACAAATAAACAGCAAACCTGGCAGCTAGCTTATGTTTTAAGGTCGCAAGTGCCACTTGTAGACAGCCGATGCTAGGAAATAAATAAAGTGGGGGAAAAGATGCATGTTATGAATGCATGACTTTTTTTCCCACAAGGTGGTGATTAAACTAAGCAGAATTCTGCATAATGGACACATAAAAATATAAGTAAGTGCCAAGCACAGATATCCCCTATTAAAAATAAGCAAAAGAACATATCTATAGATGGCATTTTAATTATGAAAGAACTTCAAAAGCGTCCAAGGAAAGTATTGGAGGGAAACTTTGATGTTTAAGTCTAAAGAATAAATGACACATTATTTCGTTTTCATGAAACAATGATCATCACTCAAGTAACAAAACCAACCAACAAAAACCATTCACCATCCAACCTAATTCTATGCAACTTAAGAAGTAACCTGTGTAAAGGAAAAATTTAAAGACCAAGTATTAAGAATCCAGATACAGTGCTTACATTGAATTCTCAGCATCTTCCCTCACGCATTCAGCCACTAAGCCACGGTCCTTACCTTCGTCTATTTTACCATAATATAAACACAGCCCTGTTAATGTTGCATGAACAGGTTAACACGAACACTCCCCTTTTGCTTCCTCACTACACACAGCCCATTTCATTTTGAAAATATTCAGAAGTTTTTGCAAGAAACTCTTCATAGAACTGACTGCCCGCATCTTGCATCAAACAGGAAAGCAGTTACCTCTCACGTACTTGAGATTTTCCTTCCCCATCAAAGTAATAACTAGGACATCTGGCACATGTCTGGTACAATGACAGGCTCATTCGACTTTATGAGAATATTTAACATATGACTTGAAAGAGTTTATGCACATACCTATTCTTTCTGGGCAGAGAGAAAGCACGCTAAAAAGATAAGCTTTAACAACAGTAACACTTTCAAACTGACTTTGGTATTCTTGGCAGTTACACACGCCACCCACGGCTGTCCAAAACACACACACACACACACACACACACACACACACACACAAGACAGCTCTCACCCCCCACCCCCCCACAGACCTGGGAGATAGACATAAACTGGACGGAAGCAAAGGGAAAGTCAATCTCCCTCCACCTGCTGCCTAAAGTGGGGGTACTTTCAGCCGCCTGGCAGACAGGAGCCTGAGACACAGCCTCAGCAGCAGCAGCCTGCCAACATCCTTAAGAAAAATAAACAAACACACACCAACTTGCCCCCTATCCCCAACCAAAGAACTCACATGGCTGGGCTCAAAACATAACAACAGCCCATTCCCATTAGCCCGGACAATCCTATTAACCAGGGCAACCATAAATTCATAAATCTCTACAACCCCGGGGCATGCATTGTGGTCTGGAACTGCACAGACACACACAGACACAGAGGAAATTTGCACCTGTCTTTCTTGACACAACACACCTGTCAGGCCCCGCTCATGCGCATTCTGTTAATAGACTTCTGCCTACCTAGTTTGGGAAAGGAAATGCTTTTTTTTTTTTTTTTTTTTAAGGGG